TCAATGGATTCGAGTGAAGAGTAAGGGAAAAAATGCGACTCTCGAAAAATCGCATGGGGAATTGGGCTGGAAATCAATTAGATTGACAGACTTAATCTCTCTGACRARAWTCCAGCYGGGYAATACCTTTTTCTTTGCGAAGTCACAGATTCTGCGGCARACTATTGGCACTYCAATGGGAGGAAGGGCAARCCCACCTTTGGCCAATGTCCAATGTATTTACGCTGAGCAACAGTTTGTGGAATCCTTGGGTGCTGATGCAAAATACATAAATGGCAACCGTTTTATTGATGATCTACTCCTAGTGGGATGGTATGATGCAAATGATGAGATGGGAACTGTCAAACTAAATCGAGTATTGGACAAGATCGAGAAGTGTTACCACAGGGATCTTCTGTTGGAACGAACCGACAATGGGGAGAACATTGTTGAGTTTTTAGAAACAAGGCTGATTGCCACAGTGCCGCCTGCATGGATCTACAGTTTTCACAAATTCAAGAACCTTGGTTCCATCTGGGAAGGAAAGAACGGGCACTTCAAGACCCTGAGGGATTTTGATTCGTTCGCTCSGTTGATTCAAAAGTACGRAAYTGTTTCAAACGGTATCWGCCGTATTGTGGACAATTCCAACRCCAGGTTCTCACTGTGGTGRAGCCTGATGATATTTCAAAAAGAATTGAAAGGGAATGACTACCCGCCRCAAGTTTTTCARGCGGGGTTGCTAAAGATKGCAAAGAAGAAGGACACTCAGTTCTAGTGGGAAATGGCGAGGGAATTACAGAATTTGGGAGGGTGGGAGGGGCAAAAAAGGACGCTTGGAGCGGCTTAAGAAAAGGCTGCAGGGGTACGGATTTTTCAAGGTTGGAACCTTTTTTCAAAAAAGGAGGACTCCACCGGCCAGCGGCCAAAAAGAGTGAAAAGGAAAACAATGACGAGGCTTGGGTACATCGGCCTAGTAGGGTTGTTCGATGTGAGAGATGTTTCACGATAAGTAAATTTTATTATTTATTATTTTTATTTTTATGTTTTTTTTTTTTTTTATTGTTCATTTTCCAATTTTCTTTGCTGAGTTGGCCGGGTTGTGTTACCAACGGTCATGTAGGGAGTAACATTGAGTTGGCACTGGTGTGGCCGTGTGGCGTACGTAGTAGATAAAAGAGAGTTAACGGGAGTTTTTACTCCTCTTGGCCTGAGCAGCGGACAGAAGGGTCGAGCGCTGGACGTTTTTACCAGCGTTGTTGGGTGTTCTTTGTTGTGATACTTAAAGTCCATGGACACCCGATTTTTGTATCTATATGGTCTCTGAGTTCACCTGTATTTTTTTTAGAAATAAATTTCTGTTTTTTGCAGGGGTATGAGGTGTTAAAAAGAAATGCAGATGCAAAATTTGAAAATAAATAAAGAAAAACTTCAAAAAAGGGGTTTGATTGATTGATTGATTGATTGATTGATTGTGAGTGAGTGAGTGAGTGAGTGAGTGTGTGTGTGTGTGTGTGTGTGTTTGTGTGTGTGTGTGTGTGTGTATGTGTGTGTGTGTGTGTGTGTGTGTGTGTGCACGT